GTGAAAGATCCTGAAGAATAAAAAAGAAATTTGCAGACATTTGATCTCATCACTTTTATGGCTTTCCTGTTTTGATTACTCTTTTAAAACAATACAAATATAAAGGCCAACAACTATAGATGTTTTTTTTTTATTACTGGGAATATGGTTATCATTATTAGAATTCCAGTAGAACTTGCTAGATAACAGTGGAGTGGGGATCATTTATCCTTGTGCTGTGGTAATCAAACAGTCTGCTTTTATAAGAGCTGGAGGTATTCCATATATTTTACAGGTCTGAACGAACTAATATGTTCCTGATTTCTATGTTCATTTTGCTATCTCCATTACCATACTGTTATTCTTTCAAATTTAGCTCAGTCATTGTTTATATGAGTAAAATTTGACTGAGCCAAAAAGAGACTGAGTAAATTGTTAGGACCATTTAGATTGCAGTTTAGCACTGTTATTTTAACATCGCAAATGGCTATATATTAGGTTCATTAATCTCATCATAACTTGACAAGAATTCTGGTAACTATTACCTAATAAACCAACAGCATCTGGTGCAAGTTAAAATATTATACTTAACTGTAGAGACAATTAATCAAAAGAACAGCAAAAAATATGCAAACTAAAATGTAAGGTTAAATATTCTATATAGGACATAATAAAGCAATTCCTCATTCAGTTTCAGGATATAATAAAGAAATTCCTCATTCAGTTTCAGGATATGACTGAAACAAATTTACATGAATATGCCATTTTTCTATAGCATGTCTCTGGAGAGGGGTATTCATAAGAACCAATGTTAATCATATTTTTCCCAAAAAACTAGATTCATTTCTGAAAAAAATTAAGATTAATTTCTAAGGCCTAAAATTTTATGAACTGCTTTAAAAGACATGCTTTGAACAAGGCAAATGAAATAATTTAAATTGTCAAAAGCTAAATGTGGCATAGTAGCTATGATCTCAGGAATAGAGTTTTGCTCATTGCCTTGTTTTTGTTCTACCTGCATCATGAACACTAATTAGACAAAGAACTAACATCCATCTTGCAGTTACTACACTCCCTTTATACACATTAACTCGCTCATTTTACTGTATCATGTATATACAATTATACTCTCCGATAGCAAAAAAAAAAAAAAAGTAATTTGCCAAAAGTCTCACAGATAGGAAATGAGTGCTAGATTTGAGATATAAAATTGTTTGTCTGGCTTCTGGCCTATTTCTTTTTTTTTCTTTTAGCTATGGCATATGCTCTCCACTCTGAATTAAATAAATGTAATTATTGGCAGCTATATCTATGAGTCATACATGTAAGTTTATGATATCACACTACAAATTCTGTGTGTACACACACATATATATGCAGACTGTTCTCAATACTGATAATATGACTTTGCCTTAGTTGCTAGATTTCCACCAGTTATTCTTACATTACATCTGATAAGAAAGAACTTTGAATCTTAATCCATTACCAGGACCCTGACTTAGGTAATATTTCTAAATAGGCATACAGAAGAGGGACATGTTAAAAGTTATATAGGACGCTAGGCATTCACACATAGTGAGACCAAAGACAGATACTCTTAAGAGAGGAACACAAAGGTACAATAACATTTATTATAATGAAATCCAGGAAATGGAAACAAGAAAAAAAAGCCAGAGAACTATGATTTTTCACTGAAAGTAGAATTCAGGGAGAGGCTAAGAACAGTTAAGGATCAAAGACAAGAAAAAAATCTTCAATTAATTTCACTAGGTAACATCACTGATTCTGAAGTGATTTTCCAAAGTGCTAGTCACATTTGCATTTGCTTTCCCATATGAAGATAGATTTAAATTTAAACATAATTCCTATTGAATGGCCCTTTCTTCTCTATTATGGTTATTACAGACAACCAATGGGTGATTGTAATCAAATTGTAGGAAACACATCCAATGGACCAACCAGTATTTCACACATACACATGTACAAAATGCAGGAAAAAAAATCTACAAAACACTAGAATGCATTAAGAGTTGACTAAAATAATTCTGATTGCCTTTACATATTCCTTAAATGTGTCATTTTGTGTGGATTTTTCAAGAACCCATGAGCAATAGTATATATGTTCCCCAATTTTCTGTATAGTCAGGTCAGATTGCAACAAATGGTAAATTGTATAATGCCTAGATATTTCAAGGAATGATATACTGCAGATAGGAAAACCAAATAGCATCCAAAAGCTAATCCCATATTAAAGGACCACCATTTCCTGCAGAGTGAAAACAGAAAGATTTGCAAACAGAAGGCAAAGTAAATAAAATGACCACTAAATCTATTAATATTGTTAAGCTAGCATGATACGCTTTAATGATTAGTTGTAGAAGTATGGTTTCTTGGCCATGTAGGAAAAGGGAGAAAAGAGAAGGTCAATAAACATAATCATGCATGTTCTATTTGCTAACATGTTAGCAGAAATAAAAAGTTTAAGCTTAATGAGAACCATTATAATTGCAATAGAAATCTAGCTAACCCTACCAATGACAAGGCCATTCCAATATTGCTATTGAGAACTAAATTCCAACCCATACTCTCAGGATCTAATAGCACTAAAACATTCCATTTCAAATTTCATTTTAGTTTTATGCCCCATTGATTAGACACATTAATTTTTAACATTAGATTCAATACATTGTACAGTCGTTTGTGCACAGTTGTCCTGACACTGCAGCAGCCTCTTTCTTTTTCCTATGATGAATTGATAGCTCCATAAAATGGAAATGTTTCCTAATTATGATTCAATTGAGAAATACCAGTAAGAAAATTTAGGTCAAAAAAGAACTTTCCTGACATTAAGACAAGGTGATAAAAGCTAAGATTTAGAAATAAAACATTAACTCAAGAAATAGGAAAGGTCTTCAAATAGGAATTTTTTTAAAGGGATTGGATGGATGTTCCAGATGGTTCTTAGATTTTCAAACTAGATATACCTTCTCCAAAATGCCCAAAATGTTATAATAATGTTGATATAAAATTGTATATGTTGGGCCTGGTGCTAGTGGCTCACCTCTGTTATCCTAGCTACTCAAGAGGCTGAGATCTGAAGATTATGGTGAGAAGCCAACCCAGGCAGGAAAGTCCTTGAGATTCTTCCATTCAACTAACCACCAGAAGTGGAGCTGCATATGGCTCAAAGTGGTAGAGCACTAGTCTTGAGCAAAAAAGCTTCAGGAGAGCTCCAAGGCTCTGAGTTGCAGCCCAGGACATGCATATACATAAACATACACACAACAGTGTATGTTGATGTTTACCAATTAATGGCCATCGCATAACAGCAATGAATGTGATTATCTATATTCATTTAAGACAACAGAGGATGTAAGTTTGGATCTCTGTCATTGGTTTATGTTTCCACTTCAATTTAAAGTCTCTAATAAATTCATTTCAAAGACTAAATTGCTTTTGGCACCTAAACAACTTTGGGATCACACTACTGACTACGAATTGACATTTTTTAATGTACTTTGGTGTATTTTTATTCACACTAAGACTGAATGTAGAGCCCTACCAAGTTAAAGAAGCTATTTCCCGAAAATTGTCTGAAGAGTGCATTAGTGACATTAGTAGAAAAATACACGTTTTTTCCTAACACTGCTCAGTAGGTCACATCTGGCTTAGGACACAGGCAAAATGAGTATGTTCAGTAACATTAGTTTATATTAAAGTATCTCAGGAAGGTAGGGCATAATCATTAGTCATGATCAGAATATTTCCTGCAATATATAAGTCAAAAGAAAGTTTATGTGGCAGAATTATGTAAGGAAACTTACAATAGTGCCTGCCCACAAACCATGCAATTTGGAAACAGCCAAGAAACAAAACCATAGAGAAGGAGGAATAAATACAACAGGTATTAGGGGTTATTATGCAACTACAAAGATTCAATATGACCCTGGAAATATAGCAAAAAATAGTTATGGAAAAGAAGCTATTTCTTATGCTCAGTAGCTAATTTTCAAACATATGTACCTGTATTTGAAACTTTGAGCATTTCACACATTTTTCTGTATCTGAAAAAAAAATGGATCCAGACTGATATTGTGTATCAATATACCTAAAAACAGTTAATATAAAGGCAGCCAAAGCAAAGTTCAATAAGAATACTAAAGAAGATATCATTCTGATTGCTGAGAATATACTTCCAATGTACACTTTGCTCATATTGGATGAGAACAATTTACTGTTCCATTTTGTTAGAAAGGATGAAATATCTAAAGTCATATTATTTCATAAAATTTTTAATTAAGTAAAAAGCTAGATTAAAAGGTCTAGATCAAATGGCAAGTATACTTAGAGGCTTTAGAAATAAAATATAACTTCATTTTGGTTATATACATAGATATTTCAATATCTAACCATTAATTAAATTTACTTTTCATATAATTTATGATAAAAGCATCACACAATCCCATTTTAAAATGTACAAAACAATAGGCCTATGAAAATAAACGTTTTAATAGTTTATTCTGGAAAATTAAGAAATAAAAAGTGAAATAAAATATACCATTTTTTCTTATCCATATTGCTTTAAGAATGAATGAGGATATGTAACTATGTTAATATGATTTTAAGGGGAATAAAAATTAAGGTCCTAGTTCAAATCATCCAGTTCATTAAAAAAATTCATATATCATAACACACTGAATATATGATTAGTATATATGTCCTCATTTATATGACTCTGATACTACCACATTTTATATATATTTAAATAAAACAATGCAAGAATTTTAGAGCCAAGTTTTACTAATTTTCACTATATTTAGAAACATACAAACAAAAGAGTAAAATTTTAGTTTAAATATTGGGTGTGACCATGATATAATCTAATGTATGATGAGATAGAATATTTGTAAGCACATAATTATAACTCAACCATCCATCTTCACATGCAAATATAATAGCACATCTCAAAACGCACTACTTTTTTCTTTTTCTTTTCTTTCTTTTTTCCATTTTAAACTTACTGCTTTGTAAGTTCTCTTTTGTCCAGCATGTTTACGAATCTGTTCTCCATTTGGCCCCGTTTCCACATGCATCGAATAGATAATGTCAAAGAAATCTTCAACCACAGCTACCCGCCGTAAAGACAGCTTCTCATCTACCCCTACGCCATCCTGGGAAAAAAAGCGAAACAAAGATTAATATATAGGATTCATAAAGCAATCTGTATTTGGAACATGAAATTCAACTATCAAAATATTTACATCATATGACCCAAATCATCTGGATGGGAAGTTCAGAAATCCATGAACATTATACTTATAAATATATGTACATATACATATATGTGAATATATGCATATGTACATACATGTATGTATGCATATGTTAAATATGTATATTATATATAATATGTATATACATATACATATTACTATATACATATTATATATGTATATATTATATACATATTATACAGTAAAAATACTGTACAGAGGGGTTACACTTACATGAGTAGGGTAATGAGTACCTCCTCCTTTGTCTTTTCCCCTGCCATCCCTTCCCTCTCTACCTCCCCAACTATCCCCCCCAAAAAACTGTAAATTTCATTTTCAACATAGTGTCCTGTACATATCATTGTTACAATAGGTCAACCTGTATCCTTGTTTAAGCATTTTGTTATGTCCCTTCCCCTCCCCAAATTATACAAATGTATGTTCTGCCCCCACTGCATAACCCCTGTTTTCACTACATTTGATCCCGGTGTCCTGCCTCTTGCATATATATTGTATTTCTTTTTAACACAGTCTCTTACTACTTAACTCAGACTAGCTTGGAACTCTTAATCTTCAATTTCAATCTTTACATAAATGCTGAGATGATAAATGTGGGTAACCGTGTCCAATTATCCTACCATGCCATGCATTATTATTTGTGTGTGTGTGTTGGTCGTGGGGCCTGAACTCTGGGCCTGGGCGCTGTCCCTCAGCTCTTCAACTCAAGGCTAGTGCTCTACCCCTTGAGCCACAGCACCACTTCCAGCTTTTTCTGCTTATGTGCTGCTGAGGAATTGAACCAAAGTCCTCATGCATACAAGGGAAGCACTCTACCATTGAGCCATCTTCCCAGCCCCATGCATTATTTTTATAAGAGAAAGGAATTGCTAATATTAGGTGTATCATGTTTACTAATAAATGCTACCAATTGGGCTTTATCATGACTTAGCTGTAGCCATCAGTGTACTCTGAAACAGTAGTAATTTGACAAACATATTAATATATGAACAAAGTAGTGTAGGAGTTCTGGGAATAGTAGATTCATCTCCTGTTAAGGTAGCTCTTTGGAAGAAATGTCATTTGACATAGGTTGGGGTTAAAGTGAAGTGTAATCTTGACAATGGGACATAGAGACAAGTGCCACTAGGTCACATGGGTGATAAAGAGCGACAATGGAAAAAATTAACCTTGTGTGTGTGTGTGGTGGGGGGAAGAAAAATGTTACATGAAGAAGTTAATCCTATGTGGCTGACACATAGAGCTCTTTCTGTTCATAAAGAGAGGCAGTGTTTGCATTTGGGCCATAAAGAATAGCCAGCTGATATGACATCATCATGAATGTGAACTAGCAGCACTTAGGGTAACCTAAATAAAAATATGATGCAGCCAATGAGACAAAGGGCATGAGTTTCTTCAAACAGAAACACTATAATCTTCTCAAGTCCTATTCTGCACTGGAGAAGTTCCCCATCTCCTGTGATGGCCAGACGGGGCTAGTCAGGAAGGAGACTGGCATGCCACTCATACATACTACTAGGATCAGAGTAGGGTAGGTTATGAGAATATTCCTCACAATTAGAATAATATTCTTTTTTATTTTTTGTCAGTTGTGGGGCTTGAACTCTGGGCCTGAGCTCTATCCCTCAGCTCTTCAGCTCAAGGCTAGTGCTCTACCACTTGAGCTACAGCGCCACTGCCAGTTTTCTGGTAGTTAATTGGAGAGAAGAGTTTTACGAACTTTCCTGCCAAGGCTGGCTTTGAATCATGATCCTCAGATCTCAGCCTCCTGAGTAGCTAGGATTACAGGCATGAGCCACCAGTACCCAGCTTCACATTTTTACATATGAAATATAACATCTATGGAAATAATTTTTATTCAGTTTACATTTTATATATTATATACTTATATATGTTAGATATTTAAAAGTATATACTTATATATATTTTTATATACATTTAATTTTTAGGTAGGTAGTTTATATTTATTTAGACCAATACATCAGATTTTCTCTCTAGGAATATAGAGATGAAAGACCTTGCCATCTTTCCTTCCTTATTCAAGCTGATATCAACTGGGTCCTGAACTCACAAAATCATCATCATGAAGGTGTTAATATAATTTTAAGGACAGGTTTAGAAACAAAAGCAGTAGGAAGAGATGCCAATTTATAAACAGCGAATGCAATGCCATAACAAAGGAACAAGAAGTGACAATGAAATAAATATACAATTTAGTCTTAAATTTACCAAAGAGTTCTAAACTCAATAATCTACAGAGACTACCTGTAAACAACCTGCATTGGCACTTCAACCTGTAAGTTCTAGCTACTCAGAAGGTTGAGATCTGAGGATCCTGGTATAAAGCCAGCCTTGGAATAAAAGGTCATGAGACTCTTGTCACAATTTAACCAGAAAAAAGCCAGAAGAGGAGCTGTGGCTCAAGTGGTAGCACATCATCTTTGAGAGAAAAATAAAAACCAATAAGTATGTAAGGCCTCGGGTTTAATCCTTAGTACACACACACACATTAATTTTCACAACCATCTCAGAGATTATATGTGTGTGTGTGTGTGTGTGTGTATCTTCAAATAATATAACAAATTTTAAACAGACAATTTATCACTCAGCTCTCTGGCCATTTGACCCTCAGGCCTCAGATTCACTCATACAGACACAAACCAATAACAAAACACCTGGTTGAATAAATTTTAAAAAAACATTTATTTTTATGTATTAACAACTAAGGGAATTCACCATACTAATATGTAAAAATTAAATATTTTAATGAGAAATTATTGCTTTCCTGAAATCTTATCTGTTTTACTGACAATGTTCTAAAGAGAGGAGAAGCAAAGTCATCCCTGGCTGAACTGTAAACACATTATTTCAGGGGAAAAAAAGAATGAAGACAAAGAATGAATAATATAGAGAAAATAAAATGTTTCAACCCAAACTATGTTAACCGAAAAAAAAAAAGAAAAACTGTGTCCCTGTACCAAATTCATTAACTTTACACCGGGTATTGGCTCACAAAAATATAGAAAATTAATTCTACTTATTTCAAATTTATCACCAAAAACAAAAACCCCACTGGGTTCAATTCCAAGTTTTTTTCTTCGATAAGAAGAGAATCATAATGATTTATGCAGACTCTTCATCCTCTTTCAAGAACAGGGCAAGATTCACGCGCCCGGGACGCCTCTCCTGCCAGCACAAAGAAGACAGGCAAGCACAGCACTGCCATATGCTCAGCTCTGGCAGGCTGAGCTCTCCTTGTCAGATATTGTCTTGCACTGAGGACTTTCCATCATGCCCTGACACATGCTGCCTCTGCCCTTGAAACACAAGTGACTTGCAATTTGGAGCCTCTGATTAACCAGTTATTATTTGGTCTGCATGTTTCCCGCCTTTCTTTCTTTCACTGTACTAGCCAACTACCAAGCCATTTAAGGTCTTCCCAAGAAAGCAGACAGAAACTAAAATGTCCTCCTTGAACACTGAAGGGTTTAGTGGAAGCATAAGGTCCATCGGAACACTTAAGTCATTCAGTCATCTTCTTGGGTCATCCATCGCTCTAGATAATTCAGTGTCTAGCTGTGAATAGGAAGTCTAAATTACAGCTCCTTGCGTTTTCTTTTAACTCACGGGTACAGTCATTAGGTAAAAAGAGTAGTAAATTCTTCTTTGTACCTTTGGGACTAAGAGCCAGAGAGAACAAATAAAACTAAGGTTTCGTGATGATAATATTCATAGCAAATATGTGTGTTCCCCATAGCCAAAAATCTAAAATTCAGGAGTATATCCAGTAAGGAAACATTAAAAGGAGTATCAAAAAAAACTCTTTAAAACCTTTTCTAAAAGGTTAAGAAGTCAACTTAGTTTCATAAAAGATAAATGTTTACAAAACTATTTATGTAACTTATTGTGGTATGCTTAAATTAAACCTAAACACACACACACACACATACACACACACACACACACACACACACACGTACTCTCCCACTGAGCTATGTCCTCCAGCACAGTATTTTTAATCAAAGACAAATACCAGGAGCAGTAACTTTGTTCAAGGCACATGTACTTTAAATTAAAAATCTTAGCTATCTACAAGGCTAAGACTTAAAACCTAGAGAGAAAGATTGACCAAAAGTGCTGCAAAAAATGTCTCACTGGGAAAGATTCTAGTCATATGAGAGGGATCAACGTCAAAGTGTTGATATTGGATCTCCCTACACATTTATTGTTTAACAGTGTTGCTTTGCGTGATTATGCCACAATTTAACCACATTCCATTTGATGTATATACAAGTTGATTCCAGTTTGGCACTATTTTGGAAAGAAAATTCATCTTCTATTTTAACTTGTGTCTTTATCATAAAACACTACAGGATGAGTCTACTAAAAGAAGATATTGGTGATAATTATTTTGAAACCTTAATACTTAGAGTAGTCTCTGGTACAGTACAGGAATATTAAACGTCTAATTAAAGTACATTTTTTGTATAGTCTGGCTAATTTGCAGAATTTCTTTGCTAAGAAGCCAGTTCCTGTTATAGGTTTTGGGAACTGACTGTGTCTCTTTGAAGCAGACTACCATGCTCCATAATTACTGCTGAAGTTACCTCCTAGAATTTCCTAACATTTTTCTGAAGATTGAGTTTGTCACCCAAAGTATGAAAATAAATACTAGTTTTATAGATTTGGCTTCACTTGAAGATGAATTGAATTTTCTGAAGCTTAAGGAGCAGATGATAGTTTTTATTTTATTGTAATGTTCACTCCCCAAATATATAAATTATTCCATAAAGAGAAAAACTATTAAGGATAAAATGTGAGAAAAAAGACAATAAGAATAGCAACATAAAAAGAAAAGAGAAGAATACGGTCTGAATCCT